CAGTTCGCTCCTCTCCCTACAAAGTGGCTTTTGATGGTCACACTCGTCCCTTTGTCTGCTGCCCCAAGTGGGAGGTCTGTTGCCTTTGGCCATGACCTCCACTTGATTTTGACCCTGTCTTGTTGGTCTCTTCAGGTAGACCTGCTGCTGTCCCACGGAGATGAAGATATGCATCATAAACTCTTCAAGTCAGCAGCAGTCCAAATCAACATGGCTCAGTTACACTTCCTCATCTACCACGCAGAGGACCTTTATTTCCGTTAGAGCCAGGGTGGTGGGGAACGGGTCCCTGAGGCCCCCTACTCAGTGGCATCCTGGGTCCTCATGGGGCCATCTCCCTTCCTTTTGTCAGTGACCTAAGATTTGGGTTGGTAGGACAGGCTGAGACTGAAATCTGCCACGAGCCTTGACTCATCTTTGATGACCAGATGCATGACAGCTCCTCTCCTGGCCCCTGTTATCACTGGAGGCCATAGCACAGGGCCAGGGTGTTGGTGACTCAAGATAGATCTTCACAGAGACACCAGATGGAACCCACAGGGGAGTGTTTGTAATTGAGACTGCCACTTCTCTATTGACTCTCTTGTCTCAAAAACTTTGTAACTTCTTGCTCCTAGAAAACACACCAGGGAATCCTATGTTGGAGGTGGAAATAAGTGGGAAAAAGGTACGTGTCCAAAGGGCCCAAGGCTTCATTCAGGAAATTGAGAACTGAAATAAATAAATGATAGTGTGTGGAGGGAAAGATGTCAGGCTAGATAGATGTCAGGAGCTGTTTCCTGGCTTTGCACTAATGAGCCATGTGGCCCCTTGCCCCAGAAACTGCAAAGGTAAAGGCCACATCCTAGTTATCCCTGTGTCCCTGCAGTCCAGCACCTTGTACAAAGACCACACACACACACACACACACACACACCTGTTATGTACAGGTGGACAAGTGAATGGATAAATGAAACAACATTCCAACAACCACTCAGTTTTGAGTTGGTCACTGCTTCCTTTTAGACCTCAGCTTCTTTGTCTGTAAATTGAAGGCTCCCTGCAAGAGATTCTAGGATCCTCTGTAAATAAAGAGCAAAGACGTGTTGATAGTGCTATGTGTGTGCACACACACCACACACATATGCACAATGTTCAGATTTAGGGAATGCTTAATAGGTTTGTCTCAAAATTCACAAACCATCATTTGCAGTATTACATGCTAGAAACGAGAGGCTAAACTCAGCTCATATTGAAAGGAAAAGACTTTAGTCACCCCTTTTTGAAGGGAGCGCCACCAAAAATTTATTGTGTTTTAAAACCAATGTGCTGAGTGGCTTAGATGCTCTTGGAGCAAGGTAAGGTGGTCTTGAGTGGTGCAGGCATATGTGTAAAAGTTTTTTTTAATTTTTATTTTATGTGTGTGTGTGTGTGTGTGTACTATCAAATCATATCTGACTGATACAGGAGGAGATTCTCCAGCAGAGCATTTGGTGGATTTGAACCACATACCTCTGGGGTTGCAGTGCAGCTTCTTGACAAGAAGCCATCAGAGCTCCCTCATGTAAAAATCTTTTTAAATCCCTTTGTTTTACCCTAAATAAACCATAACCACCACTCCAGCAGAAATATGCACAACCGTGTTTATTGTGGCTTCGTTTACAATAGCAAAGAGTTGGAAACAACCAAAGTGCCCATCTACAAAAGAATAGATAGAGAAGCTCTGGTATATTCACACAATGGAATACTATGCAGCATTGAAACACAAGGAACGCATGCAATATTATTCAAAATAGGTGACCCTGGAGGACATTATACTGAGTGAAGTATCTCAGCACAAAAGGACAACTACTGCATAGTGCCACTGTTGTAAAACGGGACTGACTTCAGGGTTGGGGAGAGACTGAGAAAGAGGGGATAAATAATGTATACTGCATTGAAGCAGATGAGGTAGAGAACTGTTTAAAAGGGATATAGGATTAGGTATTATTGTCATCACAGGAGTCCAGAATGAAGGCTGAACAGTAGAGTAGACTTGGGGGCTGGGAGTGTATAACAATGAAAGAAGAATCTTTCTTTCAAAGAGAAGAACAAATTGTGGGGTGGGGAGAGCAGGGAGAAAAGTGCAACAATGAATGAATGGAAATCCAAAGTCTCTGTAAATTTTCATTAAAATTAATTTTAAAAAATAATAAAATTGAAGCTCTAGTGGCAAGAAGCTGCACTGCAATCCTAATGGTGCGCGGTTCGAATCCACCAGATGTTCCGCTGAAAAAGGAGGGGCAAACTCCGCCTGTGCCAGTCGATTCAATTCGATGGTACACCAAATTAAAAAAAATATTTATAAAATTCAGTAGAATTTTAAAAAATCCCTCTTACACTGTATTAAAGAATTTAAATAGCCCAATTAACTCTTCATTTCAAAGAAAGTATTGTTTAGAATAACTTAAGGCTCAAAAAAGTAGGTCAATTGATGCTTTCTTTTCCCCCAGTTGATGCTTTTAAAGGGCACGTGCTGCTGTCATCAGCTGTTCTTGCCCAATTTTTTCCGTTTTAGGATTTGACAAAAACTATTTGTTTATGCTCATGATATAGTTCAGAACTCGTTGCTGACCCTCCAGTGGGTTTTGGGGCTGTAAATCACATGGGAAGAGATTGCCCTTCTGTCTCCCAAGGAAGTGTTGGTGGGGTTGACCCACCAGAAAGGCTCCATGTCTGGTTAGCAGCACAAACCTGTACATGTTAGACTACCAGAGATCCCTTTGGAATCTAGTTATTGTTGTAGTGTAGGAACCAACTCTTAGCAGGTTATATTATATTTATAACCCTTTATATATTTTAAAATTAAGTCAATTGAAAATTTATTTTTAAGGGAGAATATTAAATAGTCTTAATCTGGCAAAATAATGAAGGATGAACACAAAGAACCAATGTTGTAGCTGATAAATTATAAAAGGTGCCTTTACAAAACAAACAAAAAAACCCCACAAACCAAACACCGCTTTATTATGGTTTGAGTAAAAGTTTACAGAACAAATTGGTTTTCCATTTCCCTATTCATTCACATTTGGCTTTGTGGTTTTGATTAATATCCCTCCATTCTAACAGCACCCTTCTCATTTCCTTCTTGTGATCCTTGTTTCCACTCATTCTTCTATCCTATCCCTTTCTGCCTTGTGCACATGCTGTCTTTTTGGCCTTTTATGGTGGGTTGTTCTAAGGAGTGAGTTTTTAAATCAGGGCTTAGTATGGCCAGCTCCATGCTACAGACAGCATCTATCAGTGGACAGAGGAAGGGCTGAGCAGAGGTCAGGGGCTGGAACAGAGAGGCATCCTTTTGGCACTGACACTGCTTCGGACCATTTCCAGCTCAAGACCAGCATGCAGAACAAAACTGAGAACCCGACCTGGAACCAGACTCTGACCATACCAATTCAGGTACTGTGGTTCTCACAAGCCAGGGTCAAAATCAGCACGTCCCGCCCTTCCCAACTGTGCCTCCTACAGAGGCTGTTTGTGGGGGTGCAAATGGGCCAAGCAACATAGCAAGTGGGTGCTCCACCCGGGACAGAGTAGAAGGCAGTCTGGGACAGATAGAAAACATTGCCTTGTATAGTTAGTATTATTAAGAATAGAGGACCCTGAGTGCCAGCTCATTGCCTTCAGAAACAATTTATAACTGCCCCTCACTGGGCACTGAGAGGTACAGCCTTTGGTCAAGCAGTGAAGCTCCCTGTGGACTGTGCGAGCAGACTTATATAAAATGAAGATCCATTAAGCTCTGGGTTAACCCTCTCTTCATGATTCAATGACTCCTTAGAAGCTAAGCCAGGCTGTGGACCCAGACTCAGGGCTGCTTTCAGAATCTTCTTGGGGCTCAGGAGGCCTGAGTATGAACACTAACACTGCTCTCCCATCTTCCCCTTGCAGCTTCCCTTCCTCTCCAGTTACGTCAAGTTGAGAGTCTTGGACTGGTAAGCAACTGGGCTGAGGCTGAATGAGATGCAAGCGAGAAGGAGACCAGAACCAGGTTAAGCCTACAGAGCATGTTTCTTCCCAGCACCAAGAAGGACTGTCAGGATGAGATTGGAACAGCCAGCCTGTGCATCAACCAGATCTCCTCCACCGGTGCAGAGCTAGAAGGCAAGCCGACCCAGCCTCAGCCCTGCCTCCCACCCTCCTCCCCCTGGGTGCATCCCTTATCACCCCCTCTTGTTCCAGGAAAGTACTCTGGCTTCCTACCCTGCTTTGGCCCCAGCTTCCTGACTCTTCATGGTGGTAAAAAAGCCCCATTCAGGATCTCAGAAGAAGGCACTGTAAGCTTCTCATTTTAGCTTGTAGGAAATAGTGGACTTTTCCCTAACCAAGTGTAAGGTCCTGGAAACTGGGAAATGCTGAGAGAGGATTCAGATTTGTTATTTCCACTCCATCTCTAGCAGAGAATAAGAAGTCTTTACATAAATAATGGTGGTAGATATTGCCATGTGATGGGGTCTAAGGTGGGGGGGGGGAACTTAGTGCTCTAGATATTCACTGAGAATTGATTTTTTCAAGTCAGTGCAAAGAAATGTAGAAAATGCATCAGAATATTTTAAATTCTGGTTGTAAATGCCAGAAAATAAACTTCATTTGGCTTAAATATACATGGAAAGAGGCTGGGGAGCATTCTAAGTTGAGGAAGAACTGCAGGAACTCAATACCATCAAAAGACTCTCAAGAAGTTCTGGTGGCTTAGTGATAGGGAATTGTGCCACAGATAAAAAGGTACAAGGTTCAAATCCACCAGCTGATACATGAGAGAAGGATGAACAATCTCCTCCCCCAGGATTTACTGCCTCTGAAACCTGCTGGAGGTCAGCAACAAGTTAGTTCTGACTCCACAATACAACCACAACAGGAGATTCACTCTCTCCTTGTCTCTCTGCTGGCTTTATGCCTTGGCCTCATTGTTCCTTACTACAGTCAAGCCTCCACGCAGAGAGCAGGGTGACCATACTTTCTCTTTGAGAATCCCATGGCAGATTCTAATTGGCCTACTTAAGGTATGCATGGACCAATCGCCACTGCCAAGGAGAGCAGGCATACCCTGATTGGCCAGGCCACAACTTCCTTCTCCTGGCACCATTTCCCCCAAGTAGGGCTTTGGACTTGGTTCTTCAAATTGGCAGGCAGAACAGGGGAGTAGTGGGAGCTGAAGATGCCCAAGGAGGAACCTGGTCACATGTTCCTGGCTCAGAGTTGTCTGGGGTACCTGGAATTCCTTACCGGGTTGTGGTTCTACAAGCTCTTTCTCCAGTCAGCTCCAGGCAGGCAGAGGGATGGGGGTGATGTGCCTGGTCTTTTTCCTTCACCTTTTCTCTGCTTTCCTTTCTTCTGCCCTTTGTAGAGTCCTGATTCTTTTAAGGATGGTTTATCATACCGAGGGCGACTCTTCCTGGAGTTAATTACTCAAATAAAACCCAATCAACAGCTTAATATAAAGGAGCTCTCTCAGGAAGTGACCAGAGTAGAGGTAACCCAGGAAAACCAGTCCTTCGACCTGCTCCCAATCTACCATGGGCCCAGTTTCTGATTCCAACCATCTTGGTATCTAACACTTTGGCTGAAGGGGAACACTCTTGAGTTAGGATAGCTGAATGATAAATTGCTGGAGTAATTACTAAGTTCCTAATGGGGTCTAGTGAGGAGGAGGGCTTAATGATGTGCAGGATGGACTTCAAGTGGTTAGGGGACTCAGCAAACATAAGGTTTGGGTGGAATAACTGTGTAATTTAGTTAAAGAGAAATGGTGTTCATTCATGACCTAAGTTCAAAGGTTTGTGAAATAGTCTAAGAGATCTGGATTTCTTTTTTTTTTTTTTCCCTGAAGACAATGGAGGACCACTGAGGCTGAAAAAGCCAGGGGGAGCAATTTTAAGAGTTGACTGTATTGGGAAAAGGTGGTGATAATAGTTGTAAACCAGAAAGAGTACAATTGATGTCACTCATATATACATATAGAAATGGTTTGAATTGATGTTTTGTGGTGTATGTTCTCATGGCATTTTAAAGAAAGAATATCTATAGGGGAGTGAGCTAGAGTCACCTAGTCCAAAGAACTGGAGATGTAGTCTTGGTGGAAGACTGCTGGCCAAAAGGGACAGAGCTCCTTTAGAAGCCAAATGATCAAACCCAGTGACTGATCAGACATAAGAAATGAGGCTCAATTGTTTCAGTTGATCCTAATTTTCTGGCTTAGGTGACAAAGTGACCAGGATAAATGTTCCAAGGTGAGCTTCCTGGAGGAGGAGAATGGGGAGCTGATGGACTTGTGTTTGTGGGACTTCCATGTTGACCAGCCACATATGTGTGGAAGAGCTCACCCAGGGAGTGTGGATGAGGTGAAAGGTGAAGGGGCTGAGGAGGGAGCCAATCAGCAACAATCGAAGAGGAAGTGTAGAAGAAGGAGATGTTTGCACAGGGGACTGAGCAGGGTCTTTCCTAGGAGGGGAGCTCTGAGGCAGCCAAGGAAAAGAGGGAAGTTGTAGATCTTGACCTTGGAAGAGAGAAACAGCGAGAAGGGAAAGTGTTTGGTACTCATTAGGCTTAGGCCAGGAAAGAGCCAGCTGCCAGGGATGAGAGGGAGAAGTTGGAGACAGTTCATAGAGGCAACGGTTTTAGGAAGCAGCTAAAACACAAATGGAGCAGTATAGACTTAGAGGGGAGAAAGGATTTTTTTTTTAAGACAGAGGAAACATGAGGGAGTGAAAAGACTCAGAGAATGCAGGCAACCACATTCAAAACTAGGGAATTGTGGTGATTGGAATACAGAGGAGAAGGCAGGGATGGTAGGAATGGCTTTGAGGAAGAGTACATGGCTGGAGAAGGATGAGTAGAGCACTGAGTACCCAAGGACTGCTGGAAGAACAGATGGCTGTGAGGATGGAGAAACTTCGTCTCACATACTTTACACATGTAGTTAGGAGGGGTCATTCCTTGAAAAAGTACAATATGCCTGGGAAATTGGAGGGTCAGTGAAAGAGAGGAAGACCCTCAGCAAGATCAAATGACAGTAACTGTAACAGTGGGCTCAAGTATATCAGAAATTATGAGGATGGCACAGGATGGGACAAGGTTCAGATCTGTTCATCAGATGTCTACGAGTAGTGCTTGACACAACGGCACCTAACAACAAAACATCATCTTGGGGGAGGAGGGAAATTTGAGGAGAAGATGCATGGACAGCAGTCAAGGAGGGGAGAAGTACAATTTCAACCACACAGCCTGCCCACACCCTTTCCCACCCACCTGCAAGAGAAGAGATTTAATAAAAAATGGGAGGAGCTTCTCCACATGGAATGAAGGTGAAGTCGTCCAACTTGAGGCTTAGCCTAACCAGGGAGGTTGTGCCTGATTTCAGGAAGTGAGAAGCCAGGCTGCCTGGGTGGAGAAGGGCAGATGATGAAGGTCCTGGGTGGAGAAGGCCAGGTGATGAAGGTCCTGGGAGGCCAGGTGATGCAGGTCCTGGGAGAAACTGTTTTTGAACAGTTAGGCCTAAGGGAGCCAAGTCAGAGTTGGGACTCCATGATGGTCTAGTTTGCCCTGAAGAGGAGCAAAGATGGGTTTTGAGAAAGAGGGCTCCTCATCCTTGCCTCCTTTCCTATCTTGTTAAACCCTTGGCTTGTTCCTCTTGGTTTAAGCCTCTTGGTTTACATAGTGGTAATGTGGGGTTATTGTTTTAGATACATCAGAAACGTCAGAAGTATGGGCTGTGCGTCATCTTCCTCTCCTGTACTATGATGCCCAACTTTAAGGACCTGATCCAATTTGAAGTTAGCATCGGTCACTATGGAAACAAGGAGAACCTGAACTACAAGCCTCTAGTCTCAAGCACACAGTACAGCCCAGTGATATACGATGGTAATAGTCTAATTCATCTGAAAAGCAGAGAGCACCCCCTTGCATGCCAGGCTCTTTGCCATGCCAGTTCAAGGGGATTAACTCATGTAACATTCATAGGCATTATTAACTCCCATTTCATAGATGAGGAAACTGTGTTTTAAGAGAGAAGTTACCTGCCAAAACATAACTCACTCAGAACTCATTGCTATCAAGTCAGAACCAACACAGCAGATCCTCTGGAAGATTTTCAAAGGCTGTGAATGGCACGGGAGGACACTGTTCATCTTTCTCCTGAGGAGCAGCTGGTGGATTAAACCATTTGCCTTTGGGTTGGCAGCACAATTTCCTACCAACTAGGCCCTCAGAGCTCCCCAAAACATAACTGTTGCTGCGTGAAGTTGAGTCAGAGCCAACTTACAGCTGACCCTCAAGTGGATTTTCAGAGGCTGTAAACTGCATGGCTGTAGAGCAGCTGGTGGATTCACACTGCCTGCCTTTGACCCACTAGGCCACCTGAGCTCCCCAAAAGAGAACTTCTTGTTATGTGCTGCTCAGTCAGAACTGACCCATAACTGACCCTCCAAGCAGGTTTTCAGACGCAGTAAATTGCACAGGGAGAAATTGCTCATCTCTCTCCTGTGGGACATCTAGTGGATTTGAACCACATGCCTTTGGGAGTGCAGTTCCTTACCACTAGGCTTCTTTGTTGTTGTTATGTGCCATCGAGTCTCACAGTGACCCTATGTACAACAGCCCTAAAACCTGCTCTATCCTGTGCCAACTTTACTGTCTCTGACACACCTACCCTGATTACCCCAGTCACTGAATCAGTCCATCTCATCCATGGTCTCACTCTTTCTCCATCCCTCCATGCTTCCAAGCATGATGTCCCTCTCCAAGGACTGGTCCCTCCTTGAAACATGCCCACAGTATGTCAACTAGAGCTCTCTTAAAACCTAACTTGTAGGTGGCAAAACCAGAGTTGAAACTAGGTATTGCTTTCAAGCCCCTTTTTACCCTGCATTGCACACCACAAATTCCTCTACTCCATTTTCTTCCTTATTCCTAAGAACCATCCTTCATTCACCTGTGTACCATCGCTCATTCATCTACCTCTCCGACTACCATTCACTTATCCATTACTCATTCACCCACCTTCTGAGTATCCATTAATACATTTATCAGTCCACCTATTCAACTCCCACCTAGCACTCTCCCAAACACCCACCCAGACATTCACTCATCCATTGTCCAACTATTGGATATCATTTTTTAAGTTTATAAGGTTTTAAAAATGTTTTATTATTATTAATTTTAATGAAAATTTACAGACTTTGGATTTCCATTCATTCATTGTAGCACTTTTCTTCCTGACCACCCCTCCCCCTCAGTACAGTCTTCTCTTTGAAAAGCAAAAGACAAATTCTTTCGTTGTTTTGCAATCCCTCCCCACAGGTCCACTCCTTTATCTGTTTCATTGCAGTATACATTATTCACCCCAACTTTCTCAGTCTCCCCCCAACCCCTACGTCCATCCTGTTTTATAACAGTGCAGTATACTATATAGTATATAGTTTATACTATGCAGTATTTATCCCTCTGCGACTGAGATATTTCATTCAGCATAATGTCCTCCAGGGTCACCTATTTTGAATAATATTGCATGAGTTCCTTGTTTTTCAATGCAGCGTAGTATTCCATTGTGTGAACATACCACAGCTTCTCTATCCATTCATTTGTTGATGGGCACGAAAGTCGCAATACACATGCGTGTGCATATATCTGCTTGGGTGTCGGTTATGGTTTCTTTGGGGTATATTCCCAGTAGTGGAATTGCTGGGTCAAATGGTATCTCTATTTGCAACTTTTTGAGAAAGCTCCATACTGCCTTCCACAGTGGTTGCACCATTTTACACTTCCACCAACAGTGAATAAGGGTTACAGTTTCTCCACAACCTTGCCAGCATTGTTGCTTGCTAGATATCTTTAAAAAAAGAAGTAAATAAATAAAAATGGGCAGTATAGAGTAGTTGCTCTCAAAGTACAGTCCTTGGGTGAGCAAAATCAGCATCACTGGGAACTTGTTAGAAGCACAAATTCTCGACCCACCCAAGACATATAGAATCAGAAAATCAGGGACTGGAGCTCAGCAAGCTGTGTTTAAACTAATCCTTCGCGACTCAGATAAGGAACAAGTGATATGGAGAAGAAAGCGGGTATCCTCATCACTCACATGTCAACACCCTTCCCACTTCACTATAGTTTTTGTTTGTTTAACTTTTTAATTGGTGAATGAACGTTTAAGGAGTGAAATAGTTTTCCATTCAGTCATTCATGCTCATTTTACTTCTTAACCTCGCCTGCAGTCCCCACAATGCAGCTCCATCAATGTGTCTGGCACTCTCATTCATCCTTCTTCCCAACCCCTTCTTACTGCTGAGCTTTCCTCACTAGGCGAGTGCTGTCTTTCTCATGTCATATTGTTGGTTGACCCAAGGACTGAGTATCTCTATGGTGCTGTAGTAGAACAGCTTATGGAGACATAATTGACATATAAGATCATTTACCCATTGAAAGTATGTTTAGTAAATTCACCAGCTTGCGTAGCCTTCTCCACAATCACTTTTAGAACATTCTGTCATCCTAACCCTTAGCGGTCACCCCCACTTTTTCTCAGTGCAACCACTGAGCTACTTTCTGTCTCTGTTGTTGGATGCCATCCAGTCAACTACGACTCCTGGCGACTCTGTGAAGCACAGATGTGGACCTTGCCCTGTCCTGCGCCATGCTCACCATCTCTGTCGTGCTTCAGTCTGTCATGACAGCCATTGTGCCAGTCTGTCTCTTTGAGGTTCTCCCTCATTTATGTTGACCAGCTCTACCTTTCCCAGCATGCTGCTCTCTCGACGGGCTGGATCTTCAGCACTGCCCAAAGCATGTGAGACATAGTTTCTCCCTCTTTGCCTCTAGGAAGTACTCTGGTTGCACTTCCTCCATGACCAACTCTTTTTTGTTCTTTTGTCAGTACAAAAGAATAACAGACATGCCAAAGGTGTTCAGTACTTTTCTCCAACACCACAATTCAAAGGCATCAGTTCTTCTGTCATCCTTATTTATAGTACAACTTTCAGATGCACAGGAAGCATATGAAAAAACCATAACCTGCATCAGGCACATCTTAGTCTTTAAACTGACATCCTTGCTCTTTAGCACTTTGAAGATGTTTGTAACAGCAGATTCACCCAGTGCAGCACATCTCTTGATTTCTTGACTGTATGATACCTGAATAAGTGAATCCAAATAAAATAAAATAATTTTTTTCTCCACCTATCATGGAGTTGCCTGTTGCCTCTGTGGTGAGGATTTTTGTTTTCTTGATATTGAGACATAATCCATATTGAATATTATAGACTTTGATCTTCTGCAGTAAGTGCTTCAAATCCTCTTCCATTTCAACAAGCAAGGTTGTATCATCTGCATGATGCAGGTTGTATATAAGCCTTCCTTCAATCCTGATGCTACATTCTTCTTCAGATAGTCCAGCTTCTCAGTTTGATCAGCATACAGATTGCATAGGTCTGGAGAAGGATACAGCCCTGATGCACATCTTTTCTGATTTAAAACCACGCAGAGTCCCCTTAATTCTGTTCAGACAGCTGCCTCTTGGTCTCTATATAGGTTTGCAGGAATACAATTAAATGTTCTAGGATTTCCATTCTTTTCAATGTTAGCCATAATTTGTTATGATGAGCACAGTCGAATGCCTTTGCAAATCTGTCTCTATAGGTTTTCCTAGTCTGTATATTTAATATAAATAGAATAAGAAAGATATTCATACAGAAGGCAGGTTTCTTTCACTTAGCATATGTGCTACTTACTTTTCACAGTTTGAAATAAATGTTGCTATGATTGAATTAGGTACTCCCAAATATGTGTCTCACCAGCTTCTCTATGGGAAAAAAATTGGGCACTCTCCTCTTGTGCAATTTATAGCCTCTGGAAGCCCACTAGAGGGTCAGTTATGAGTTAATTCTGATTTGATGGCACATAACAACCACTACAAAAGTTTGTGTCCACTTGGCTGGGTCATGACTCTTCATGGCTTGGCAGTTTGGTGATGATGTAATTTGGTGGTTATATAATGATATGGTGGGATGTGATTAGCTTATAAGTTCCAAGGGGTTGAGGCTGAGATACAGCACCTTCATTAGATCACAGCCCAGATCTGGTGGAAGTGGAGCCTCCCTGGGGGTTAGCCTACATCACCTTTTATCTTCTAGGAGATACAAAATAAGAAAAGTGAGCAAAGAAGGGATCTGACTACAGCCAGCGAAAAAGAGCTAAGAGTAGATGAGTCCAGAGCAAAGGCTCTGAACTATTAATATCTTAGACTCAGGAAAAGACAGATGTCAAGACACATGGAGAGTTCTGAGGGCTGCCCACAGCTGCTGACTGAATAGAGACAAGGACCTTCACCTAGAGGAGGTACTGTGCATTCAAGTTACCAACTGAGAGAGTAAATTTCTATTTCTTAAAGCCATCCATTTGGGGTATTTTATTTCTGTTATAGCAACACTACATAACATAACTAAGACACATATACAAAATAGATACAAAGTGTATGTTGTTGTTCCATTCCTTCAAGTCCCACTCAACTCATAGCTGACCCTGCAGTAGTTTTCAAAGGCTTTAAATAACAAAGGAGGAGATACTCATCTTTTCCCCTCAGAATAAGCGGTGGATTCGAACCTCCTACCTTTGGGTTGGCAGCACAGTTCTACCCACTAAGCTACCAGAGCTCCTTATAAAATATATATGTATAAGTTATAGAAAAAAACAACAAAATTAATACTCATGAGCACACTACCAGATTAAAAAAATGGAAAATTATTGGCATCTTAATGCACCTCTGTCCCAGATCCTTTATTCCAAGAAATAATCCTGATCCTTGTGCTGATCACCTCCTTGCTTATATTTTTACTTCTAATGTATGAATCTCTTAACAATATACTGGTTTT